ATAGCATTCAGTATACTGTTAATCCGTAGACATTTGCATCGACATTTTCAGCTAGATCGAAATCGCGGACCCAGTGACAATGCGAGAGTGATATGTGTTGCCCGTACAAGAACACGGCATCCGAATATAAATGACAACAGAAAAGAAAAGTCATAGTCTCACTCCTGACTTTTTTCTCTTTGCTGCATGAGTGTAGTGTGTGCTAAACGAAATAAATATTGTCTAAGTCACATTCACATTCGCAGTCATTTTCAATTGCAGTAGCAGTAGCTCTCTTGTGTCAATGCGCCAATATATTGATGGAAACGCTCACTTTAGTCATCTCTTTTCACATCGTTATCTTATTGATGTGGCCCGGCTTCCTTTGACGGTAGCGATTTATTTGCTTGGCCGTCTTTTATTAGATTTTCAAATTGCCTTTTGCTATCTTCGGCTCATTCTCCGGGACAATATCTTTTGCATGTGAAATTTGTGTGTGCGATAGAGAGAGAGAGAGAGAAGAGAGAGAGAGAGAGAGAACAAAAGCGTAAGAAAGGTAGGTGAACGGGAATAAAGAAAAAAAAAACGATGCGGCGAATTGTCATCGACAGGCGTCTTTTGCATGCGAATGGGGGTTATTCGCATTTTCGATTGATGATCATTTGGTTTTCTCATCTTCTTTTATGGATTCAATCAATTGGATCCAAAGCCAAGTTATTTGTCTTCGAATCTAATGAATTTTTCATTAGGTAGACATGCGATACGATGCGAAGCCAAAACATGAGCCTAAATAAGTAAGAACAAGTAAAAAAAAACATAGAGACACACAACATCCTTACCGATGAAAACAAAGGGAATACGAGAATGCATAACATGTGTCTCATAAATTCGCTCTCCGCTCCGTTCTCAGCTGATAGAGAAAGCGAAAGCAACAGAGGGAGAGAGCGAAATCGAGAGAGGATGAGAAAGAGCGATAGAAACAGAGTCGAAATGAGAATGATTTATTGTAGACATCACATCTGGATTTGGAAGGTATTTTTTTTGGTTTCTGCATCGCAACTCTTTTCCAATTTACTAATCGTCGAACAATCGAATTCCATACGACTTATCCCTCTGTCTCATTCTAAAATTTATTTTAGCATGAATATTTTTCGATTTGTTCACGTCGCGTCTGCTCAAGATAAATAATAATTAAATGTGAACGAAGGCGATGGCTCTCGATAAATCATCCTGTCCACATTTGAAACGCAATCAAAATCAGATGTAAATTTTTGTTAAAAATGTATTTGATCCGACCAAAGTTTTTGGCGTTTGCATGAATGTGTTTGTTACTGCCGTATGATACGGTCCGTATAAAGTCAAATTGATTCCGTTTTCATAAACATCGGAAACATGTTGATTTTTCTTCTTCTTCTTCTTCTTCTTCATTCCAATGGTCTCATTTTGGTTGTCAAATCCCGCTTTCTTTCCCGATTGATATATTACTGTACTGTACTGTATACATTCAATCTATCATTTATGCATTATTTTTGCATCAACATTTTTAGCAAGGGGGCGTATTAAGTATGCTGTGCGCCGGTTAGTGCCCAAGGCAAACAAGTGCTCAAACTAAATAATACTTTGACAACAATTGTTGTAACTTTATATTTCGGTAGCGTATGGAATGCAATTTAATGTTTGAAAATAATTTCCGGCAAGTGTCTCTCTGTCACTATTCTATGTGAATTACGGAATGTAAAAGGTGAAAAAGTTACTTATCACTTGAAACGTAGAATACATTCGGCGAATTTAAAACACATAAATTGTGACTGTGCTCTGTGCTCTGTGCTGTTACAACAATCTATGGAAACTTATGCACACGCTTATAATCTCGCATTTATTGTATACAGAATACGAAGTGTGAAATTGTGAGGCGCCGTGGATTTCGTGCGGCAAATTTCAGTACTATTTGGTGTGATTGAGCTGTAAATAGCCGTAAGTGAATTCTACATATTGTGAAATACCACAAAATCACACCAAGTAGTACTGAATTTTGCCGTACGAAATCCACGGCGCTCTACAATTGTTCAAAATTTGACAGTAAACGGGTGAATTTATGTGACAAATAAAACTTAGCTTTTTCAAGTGTTCTACAAATAAAAGCTATTAATAATGATGTCACTGTAAGCGTTTGATATATTCCAAACACTGATGGCTAATAAAAACCCCGCGAATAAAATTGTACGTTGGGAGAAAAAAAGTTGAATGCTGCCATTGCATAATCGTAAATTTTCGATCAATTCCCATTGGAAATGTGAGCATTTAACTTGGAATCGGCAATTATCGTACAGACTGACCAAAACGTAGAAAAAGAAACCGTTTAACCCAAACTGATATGGAGAACAACCTTCACCTGCCGTCTTCTGTCTAACACGCATAACGAACAAAACGAATGATGCTGGTATACAAAGTGCCCAAATCATTAGGCTGAAAGGTTTTTCATCATCAATTTCGATTCGATCGGAATATTTGACTTGAATGTAATTTATTGAGCGGATCGAATGAGTGAGAAAGAGAAGAACAAGCCAACATAAATTTTCTGAGCGAAGTTTGAAGTTCGAATTATTTATTCATTAAATAATGTAAAAATGCACACACCACTAAATACTAAGTTCTACTAACTTATGAATAGTTGAGCACACGATCAAATGAAAAAGAATCACCATAAAGAGGGTTCGATTTCGGTCGAGAAAGAAAAAACCTAGTCGATTCTCGATTCGTGCAATGGGCAAGGGAATTCCTCACAATAGCAACGTTTTCCTTTTTTTGTCAATTCGAACTCGTCAATGATGAGCGATGCAATGGTAGAATGTACGGGAGATACTATAAGTGATAGATTTATCATTTCAGATGACTTGAATAGATGTCATAGTAAATCCATTTAGTTTAAATTCGAGTTTAATAACTTCATTGTTTGTGATCAAATTCTTGTTAAAGCTGCATTTAAATGGAAATCAAATAGTCTTGACCTAATTTAAGTAAGAGAGATTTCATGTACGAATCGAAGCCAAAATGTTTAAATGTGCAATGAAGAAAGATGTACCGTAAAATTGTGCAAATCATTCGGTGCGGTGGTTAGTCGAAAGGTTTAATGACGTTGTGATTCATGACAACCATGACAACGGGTTTTGGTATGGATGTGTCGTGAATTCTGATAAATCTGTTCGATTTTGCTTCACCGACTCTACATACCGTGTGGATGTTTCAAAAGTTAATCCATAAAGTGTTCTTAATTTTCAAAAGTCTTTTGCTGCAGCGAATAAATTATTTTGTATTCACAGGCGAGTTCACAGATCAAATTGGATTGTAATTTATAGTCGCATTCAGGGCTTTTGAAAGGATTTTCCCCTTCACAATCGCTCGCCTCGCAAAGTGTGCGTGTGTGTGAGAGAGAGAGAAAGAGAGCAAAAGGTAGAGAAGATCCAAACAATTCCAAAGTTTATTTAAAATCTTATCTCATTTTGGCACCAAAGCGGAGCATCCATACCAAAAAGCGGACCAACCGTTGTTGAAGAAAATACAGTACTGTATGAGATCATTATCCAAACGTGTATCGTTTAACATACAGCAGAGAAGAAAAATTGCTACAGAAAAAAAAACAAACTCATCCTAATTCACTTTATTAAAAGTCATTCAATGCAAATATAAATCAATGTTTTCAGAATAAAGCGTTCATAAACATTTTGTCATGCATCGGAATTTTTTGAGCTCCCACCAAATGTTAAAACTTATCTGGATCATCGTGAAAAATTCACTCTCACATAAACGTACGCATGGCATACGCATACGAATACGTATACACGTGCACACACGTGAGCCATTTGAAATTTTCACAGCAATGTATGCATCAGCACACGTCTATTATGTCAATTTTACTCGTTAAATTCATGTGTTTCCATTTGGATTAATTCAAAACGAAGAATTCAACTGCATAAATGGCACAGCTAATATAAAAAAGACATCAACATTATTTACATCAGCCTAAATAGAAACGGCAGGGCCCAACAGTGGTGAAAATGATACGGGCGGCTTTCGCTCGAATTACAGATACGCGCAAGCTTCGACGAAATATGCGTCACACATAAAATGCGAGTATTTATTTGAATTTTATTCAATTTTGGCGATGTTTTGTCAACCTTGTTACGAGGCAGCAAGTTGAAAATGAAGTATATACACACATACACATACAAATACACACACGACAATCGATGCGGCTCCCACGCAAGCACATCTGTTTCCCATGGCCGAGCATGATGATAAGAATGAGTTTAAATATGCCCATTTTTTTTTCTCTATGCAATCGATGCGGCGCGTACATAAAATCACACTAACGCACAACAATTATTATATTTCATGTAAAGCACATTGTTGATGACAATGACGGCGACGATGACATACTCATTTTTTATGTTCGTATATGTCTTCCGTTACGCAAAACACTTTCTGGGAAAATATAATTTACCAGCACAAGACAACGCAACATAAGAAAACGAGCCATCATATTGAATGCACCTGACAAAATATTATCATTTCATTTGAGAACATAATTTAATTTGTGTTCGGCTTCTATAAATTTCTTTAATCAAAAAGTTGCATTAAAATTTGAGTGAGAACAAAAATGAAATTCGAAAAAAAAAGAAATAAAGAAAGAATTCGAGATTCAGAATTCTCTCATCAAACGACAAATTCATACCCAAAGAATAATTTCGATTCACGCTTCGAGGGTGAAGAATGAAAAGTACCAAAATAGTACACCATCAAAATTTGAACGCTCTTTCCACCATGATATTATTATTATTATGGTTTCATTTGATTTTACGCGGTATAGAAAATCATTTTGAATGTGACAAATTTTCAAGTGCGCCATAAAAATGATATTACTATATCTCACACTCGTTTCTCCATTCAAAAGCATCCTCCTTCACTGAAGCAAAAACAAATCATCATAATTAAATTGTATTTTGTATTATTCCATTTTCCAGGTATTATTCCATTTGTCACCAATAATGAGACGCTTTGTGTTGGAATTGTCGCATTTCATCGCCATTCGTGGGAAAATGTTGTTGAACCAAAGCTGTGCATTGTGAATCATCAGGAGGACACAACGACGAAAGAAACACCAAGTGAATGAGTGCGAATTCCCTTGCAAAATGTATAAACGATGTAAAATGCATGCAAATGATGTCTTTCGACAACAATCAATATGAAATGGAAATGATGTTTGTAAAAGTGAGACCATCACTGGCAATCAATGTAATCAGTAATCGCGCAAAAAAGCACCAAACAATCGAAGACAAAACGACCGTGGAGCAACAACAACAACAACAACAACAAAGCAATAATCACATCGAATGCCGCTTCGATGACGATGAACATGACGATAACAGCAGCAGCGATAGCATAACGTTCATTCAACAAAACGACGTGAAAAATACTGAAACGATACCGAAATTACACAGCAACAATACACACACACACACACACACACAAATAAATCAAAAAAATCATCAATCACGAGCAACAATTCGAAAGTTGTTTTCATTTTGGTATTGACACCATTTAAACGTCTGATTGGTTAAATTCACTCACGAAACATCAAATATCAACACGCATACACAAAAAGGCGAACATTTTGCTTCTCAACCCCTCCGGATGCCCTTCATTCACTCAACAAATGTAATATAATTTATAGTATTATATTCAAAATTGATTGAAGATCCAAACAAAAGGAAAAGCAAACAAGAACTACGAGGGATATCGACACAGCGACTGAGAGAAAACACGCGAGACACATATACACAAACAAAAAAATATTTGCTCGTTGGGAAAACAACAATGATTCGGCCACCGATGTAAAATCGTTGTGTCTAAGTCAAAAGCCACGTCTGAAATCACTGGAGAGGCATATCTTGAAGAAGTCGAAACACGCAAAAATACGATAAAAAGGAGCACAAGAGGCGAAGGCAAGGGAGAAAGATAGATAGATAGATAGAGAGAGAGGGAAACGATATCGAGTAACCATTTTTGAAAGTTTTCCCAGATAAGCCGCCGCAAAAGTTTTCAATTCCTTGAATGCAAGGCATTCGCATCCAATATCGAAAAAAGCGTTCGCAATTCGTGTCTTCGCCAGAGAAACAGAGAGAGGAAAGAAAAGAAAACTTCGTGTATCGTTTAGATCAATTTGATAGATTACCTCGACGAACATATATTACACCCTTCGTCTGGGGTGCGAAACAAGGAAATCGAATCGTAAAATAAAGCTTAGGTCACAACAACAACAACAACAACAACAGCAGTAGCAAAAACAACAATAATAACAACGGGTGATAACGGAACTCTGTAAATACGGACACTATCACACGATTAATTTTATTGACGTAGTCACTGAGCGTCTATAAAAAGCACATTTTGCTCTATTGTAGAATTATCCAACAAAAAACAAAGAAGAGTCATTTCCACAACGTGACATCGGTGAAAAAAAATCAACTACAGAAAACAGAGAGCAAATATAAAAGTGACGAAACAGCACAACACCACAATAGCCGAGAACTTCCATCAAACTAATCGAAAAAAAAAAAGAAAATTTTATCGAAGGGCAGAAGAACATCGCACATCACACGAGAGCTGTAGAAGGAAAAATTTCGTAGGCGAACTACGTTATACATATATAAAAGCGAACAGATCGAACAAAGGCAAATGAAAACGGCACAGCGCAAAAACTAACAATTAAATGAAATAAAGAATAAAAACGGAGCAACAGAAGCATAAAAGGAGAACAAAAAAGTAGCAACAACAAAAACGCGTGCACGAAATATCACCACCGAAGGGATAATGGAAATGAATGAAAATCGACAATCAAATGTGGCCACGATCAAATTTAATTATGACGATGATACAAATGCCATATTGCATTATGGGAATCTAGTGAAACAATCATCAATGAATAGTTTTTTCAATGTAAACGACTATATTGAGTCCACCACCGTACCTGATGATGGCATCGACAATACCGTCGAATCGACCACCGCAAACAATGTTATAGTAATTCTTAAGTGTTTTGTGATTGGTTTCATCATTTTAGCTGCCATTTTTGGTAATATGCTGGTCATCGTGTCGGTAATGCAACACAGAAAACTAAGGTAAGTATTTTACATTTTAGCTAGTTGATGGTGTTTCAGCATCATTTTGGCGCGTTATTCTGCATTCTCTCTCTGCCTTTTTGTCCAGCGCTTTCCAAATCCATTTCAATGGATTTTTTTTTAATAATATGTATTTCGGTTGTACTGATTCGAGTAAATGCCGACGATGTTAGCTTAGTAGCAGACTCGACTCCCGACTAGGCTAGGTCAGCTGAAACCAAATCCAAAGTTATTTACATTAATTCGAGTTTATCGTTTTCAACCGAATCAATTATCCACTCGATTAATTCGATTTAAGCTATTAAAATTGCCGGAAAGACAGAGACAGAATCGGCAACTCTGGACTGATTGTCTTTGCTATCATCATAGAGTTGTGCTTATTTATTGATTTTTTTCCTCTCTCCCTTTTTGCTTGTTCTCGTTCATTTCATTCTTATGTTGTTTCTTTTTTTTGCATTGGATTTTTCCTTGTACCACTTTGTGTTCGGACCGAAAATGAAATGCGCCTACCCACAACCGAACCACATCGAACAAAATACCACAGGGTGATAACAAACTACTTTGTCGTCTCCTTGGCCATGGCTGATATGCTAGTTGCGTTGTGTGCAATGTCTTTTAATGCATCGGTGGAATTCGCTGGCAAATGGCTTTTCGGCACATTTGTTTGTGATCTGGTAAAGTAAATTCTTTTAAAATTAATTTAATAGTACCATAAAAAGGTTGAAAAAATCCTATTAATCCATCTTTGTTAGTTATAATTTGAATATAAGTTAAATCTTTTCGAATTGTAATTATAATAAAAAAAAAATAAATTTTTTAAACAGTGGAACAGTTTTGACGTGTACTTCTCAACAACCAGTATTCTGCACCTGTGCTGCATATCGGTGGACCGATATTATGCAATCGTTCAGCCTTTAGATTATCCCCTAATCATGACCTATTCTAGAGTAAGTATGGCAATTGTACGGAAATCACGGCCAATTGAATCATTCTCTCCCCCCCCCCCTCTCTCTCTCTCTCTCTCCAACTTTAATTTTCGAAACTATTAACAATTTCAATTTTTTGATTCTCTTCCCATGTCCGTTTTGTCTTTAGGTAGTTTTTATGCTTGTCATTGTGTGGCTATTTCCAGCTATGCTCTCCTTTGTGCCCATTTTTCTGGGATGGTATACAACCGAAACACATTTTCGATATTTACGAAAATATCCGCACATATGCGAGTTCAAAGTCAACAAATTATACTGCATAATTTCGTCATCGGTTAGTTTTTGGATCCCAGGAATTGTGATGATTCTAATGTACTATAAAATTTACAAGGAAGCCGATCGACAAGAACGACTACTCTATAGGTATGTAACGTTTTTTTTATGGTTTGTTTGTTTCAGATGTTGTTAATCACAATCATTTTTCTCACGCGTTCGCAATAAAAGACGAGGAATTTTATGGTTTATTTAGCGTGATTGTAATCGTATTACGATAGGTAGATACAAGGCCGTTCTTGAGGATGGATGTGCGTGTGTGAGTGAGGAAGAGAGAGAGAGTATATTCAGTCGCAGTAGCAAAATTAATAATAACTGATAAGAACATACATAATAAAATGTCTTCCAAGACCTTAGTGACAATATGCAAATTATTCAATGTCAACGAGTGCTTAGCGTTTGTATTTGTATTTGTATTTGAACAATGTGAGAGTACTCTATCGAAACATTTTGACCTTTATGTTCACAACGTACTTCATATCGGTTACAACTACATTAATAATATTTTCGATTTGAAGCCTCCTCTCTTTGTCTCAACCGCTCTATCCCCGAACCGGAGAGATTGGAACTCATCCAACAATGTTGTTGGCTGATGTTGCATGTAAACATGGCGCTTCGCGGTGATACTTTGATTCAAATTTATAATTACATTGGAAGCACGATGTCATTCCGCGTACCGTTTGGATTTACATGTTGTGTGTGTATGTGTGTGGCATAGATAAAGTGGGCTCTCGAGCCCCCTACACATAGAGAATGCTGGTTATTTGTGTTTATAATGTTGAAGCATCCCAATACATTGGTTCATTAGAATTTATGCAAATATTTTATCACGATTCGATGGAAGAGAAGGAGAGAATATGTGTTTTGCCAAATATCGAGTGTCATCAACTTATAAATAATAAAAAGCTCGGCAAAACCAAAAAACAAGGAGCAAGCAAGCGAGAGAAAGAGAGAAGAGGGAGAAAGTACGATTGTACCAAAACAATGCGGCGTCACTGTCACTTTCCTCGCTGAATAATTCAATTTTATTCGATTGATTATCAAGCACATAACTACATTTGGACCGCGAACTATTTTACTTTTCCATACACACCGTGTCAAGGGAAAGTATAGGAATTGGTCTCGAACACTTTTTTCGCAAAATTGGTTTAGATCATCATAAAAACTCATGAAACGCGTAGAAAACCACTTTTTGAGACATTTTTCCATTCGTGTGCCGTCGTCGTTGTCGTCGTCGTTGTCGTCGTCGTTGGTGTTTGTTAACACGATAACTCGAAAAATAATTGAGACAATCAAAATCTGGAAATGCCAAAAGTTTTGTATTCGGAAAATTTAGTTTAAGTTCGAAGATAAGCTATTTTCGATTTGATCCTGGGGTACTTGCCCAAAGAAAAACCTCAAAAAATTGACACTTTTGTATGGGAGGTACCTGTGAATCGACTTCGATTGGCTTCAAACTTTCTGGGATTCCATTTTTTGGGAGAAAAATAAAATTCTGAAAGTTTGAAACCAATCGGAATCAATTTATGGGTACCTCCCATACAAAATTTTTGAAATTTTGACTAAAATTACCGATTTTTGGACAATTTTGTATGGAAGGTACCCGTTAATTCATTCTGATTGGCTTCAAACTTTCTGAGGTTTCATTTTTTGGAGAAAAAATAAGATTCTGAAAGTTTTATGTTGATCGCATTTGCAGAAGTTTGATTTTTTGTCCTCAATTTTTGTCGAAATTTTCTTGGAAAAAATTGAGGGCCAAAAACCAAACTTCTGCAAATGCGATCAACATGAAACTTTCAGAATCTTAATTTTTCTTCAAAAAATGAAACCTTAGAAAGTTTAAAGCCAATAAGAATCGATTTACGGGTACCTCTCATACAAAATTGTCGGAGTTTTAGTTAGAGTGAACGATTTTTCACGTTATTTTTATTATTATATTTTCACTGCCTTTATTTCAAGAAAATTCACAAAAAATAACCAAAAGTACCTACGGACAACGCAGACCAACGGTACGGAAAAGTTCGGGATTACCAATGTAATTCTTTTTATTTGCATTCAGCTTCTTCTAGCCACAACACAAACTGATACAGCAGCAGTGGCATCGAGTTATGCTCATGGTACTCATGGTGGTGTAAACAACATACGTGACATTTTGACAATGTTGAGTCAAATTTTCGAAAAATTTGTAATCAGATTTTGTCCAGTACAAAACAACAATCAACACGCATCACATGAAAAACAACAACATAATATCACTAACATACAAAATTTATGTAAATTCACTTAAAACAGTGGTGGACAAGAAAAGAGTTTTAACCCAAAACATTAATTGCACTTTATTCGAAGCGCAGATTTCACATTGATGTAATCAAAAGCTCCGCTGCTGCTGCTGCTGCCAACGCAAACCGCATTTGATGACGCCATTCAAGCCTTTTTGATACGCAAGTTCCACATTTTATATTTTGATAGTTAAATTTTCAACAACTATGTGGTTATGTACATTACGTACAATGAAATTTTAATAATGACATCGACAACATTCGAATACAAAGGCACGGTTTGACTTGAATGGCGACGTGAACCCAACTCTCCTATTCACTTTGAATTTGACAACTGAAATTGAGCGCAAACACCACCTAGATAATCTAAGGCTGATGACAATACAATCAAGTAAACTCTCCGTTCTGTCAAACGTCATAGTGAAGTATAACATACAGACATCACGAACTCGCCATCGGTTCTTTAGATGGCGCTTCGGTCAAGCGAGTTCCAACCAAATACATGTATCAGTATACGAAGCATTCCACTGTTGCTTGAACCTTAGTACTTTAAGCAAAAATAGAATATTCAATGAAATGAAATGGTACGTTTGAGTCAAGATCTAGATTATTTTTCTTATCCTGGTTGAACGAAAATGAATACCGATGTAAATTAGTCAAAAGTAGAGCGATACAAATACCTCCTTAAAATATTTTAACTGCAGTAATTGGTTTCATTTGCAATAGATTCAAAGGGAATTATTATAGACTAAGAGCCAGTGATAGTAGACTATCACCTCATAAAATTCCT